TGGAGATATTTTGGTCACAAAAAAACAAAATAAGCTTTTTAGTTCAATAAGACAAAATCTTACATCCAAACCATAATCATTTCATTTTTTCTCTCATAAAAATTAAAAAAGTCAAAAAACTTATTTGAAACCACACTTTTTATCCCAAACTAAAATAGTTAAAAAACTAATCCACATCCTAAACCAAGGCATAATATGATTTTGAGTTGAATTTTTTTTATCTTCAAGATATCATTGAGATTATGTGCTCTCGTGAATATTAAATACAAAAATAGCCATTCAACTTCCCAACGTCACTATATGATATATGGAAATAAAAATATTAAAAAATCTTTAAAAATTTATTAAAATTTTTATTAAATGTCTCACATAATTGTGAAATCTACATTGGCCCTGTTTGGTAGAGCTGTGGGAAAGTGCTTATAGCTTATGCTTCAACAGCTTATAGCTTATAACTTTCAATTTAAGCTGATTTTCAGTTTATTCTTAAAGCATCTCCTGTCCTATTCAAAGAATAAGCTGATTTCTGACTTCCAAAAAGTTATAAGTTATAAGCTATAAGTTAAACTAAACACATCAAAATAGCTTAAATTAAGCTGAAAGCTGAAATAAGCTGTAATTAAGCTCTGCCAAACAGACACATTGTGTGGACCCACATTCATATAAAATATTTAATAAAATTTTTAGCCTATCTAACCATATTCATACTATATACATTTGAACTACAAGAAATCAATATTTCAATGCTCTACTCCATGATGGGGAGAAAGCCTATAGGCTAATGTGAACTTTACCATTAAATGTTTTAATTAAAGTCTATGCACACCAAACTTATTAATTGAGTCCCCCATCACCCAACGAAAAATTTTGGCATATTATAAGAGTATTATGATGGCTACATGTACTCTAAAACTATGTATTCCACATGCAAAAAAAAAAAAAAATGTCTTGGCCCGTTAAATTTTAGTTTTCATTAATTAAAATTTTTGTTTTGTTCAAACATTTTAATAATGTAGGAACAAAATTAGACTTTTAAATGGGTAATGTTTTGTCTTTTAACTATTTAATAAAGGACAAAATTAGACTTTTAAATGGGTAATGTTTTGTCTTTTAACTATTTAATAAAGGTGAATAAGCATATCCTACTTATAAAAATTTGTAACATAATTAGTTTGGGAAAATAATATTGAGTGGTACTCTGAAATTATTAAATAGTTACTCATGATTTAATAAATTTTATAAAGACGTATTGTTTGAAAAAAAAGATCTTTTGGTAGGGAGAAAGGATATTCTTATTAGTTGCTAGCAACATAATTGTTTTAAATTTTTATTCAGTATAAAAGGGATAATCCAGTATCTTAATTTGGTTGATTGTTTGACTAAATAAGTACTCTATATATAAGCAGTAAGAACATTACTCATCAAATTTCATAAACACAAAAGCCGTATAATAAGACTAGTTTAAGATCATAAGAATACCAACCAATAAATCATCACATGTATGTATCACAACAACACATTAATAACAAAAATGAGTGGTGGGGGCATTGAATTTCTGGGCCTATTTTCTTGACTGAATGAATGGAGATAATATCATACCAACCAACAACCCAAAGTTTTCTTCTTTGTGGAGTTTTTTAATTTTGAAATAGTTTTAAGTCCCAATTGCAAAGCAAGGTTTTCAATGGTCAGACTATATATGTTAATTTGGGTGAAGCAATAATCTTTTCAGCAACAATTTTTTTCCCGTATCTATTTCGCTCTTTAAATTAATAGACACTAGATATATAAGATTAAGTCTCACTTCTATCAATTTTATATTTTAGTAAAACTTTAACACACAATTTTAATCAATTTTACTGTTTGGGAAGGGCTAAAGTTGCTATTTTCGCCACAAAAGACAAAATAGGTTATTTTAGTCATAAAAAACAAAATATCACATCCAACCCATAATCATTACACTCTTCTCTCACAAAAAAAAGTCAAAAAAGTCAAAAAGTCCAAAAGTCCTTCCCAAGCTAAACTTTTTCCTAGGCTCAAATAGCCAAAAAAACTAAAAAGGCAAAAAATAAAAAAGCCAACCCACTTCCCAAACGGAGGCTCAATTATCCTAGTGTGAAAGATCCAAGTGAGCAGTCTAGTTGCCCGAATGATATGAACTGGGGGATTCAACTCCCAACATGGTCTAATTGGGATTGCTATTTTTTTTTTTGTTTGTTCATACTATACTACAAAACCTAAAAAAAAGAAAAATCCACGATTGAAAAATAAAATGATTGTATAAGAGGGTTCAAGAATGTTGTCGGATAATTCGAAAATCTTCGAAGATCTTTAAAGAAAAGTCAAATTCTCTAGAAATGATGAGAGGCTTGAATTCTTTAACAGTCACAACTAAAAACACAATAACAAAGAGATGATGGAGATAAGAAATTGAGTGAAGAAAAAAGCAAAATAGTTAGAGAGAGAATAATGGCAACACTCTCCCATAGATCTCCCACTTTCACTCTGATAATGAAGAAGGGAAATTAGTTCTTTTCCAAGAGTTGTCTCTCAAAAAATCCATCTCTTGTAAAGTTATGAGTGTGTTATTTATAAGCACCTCATGATGTAGGATGGAGCCCATGTGCAAGGCACATAGAGAATATTCCCTCTAACTGCCTTGTCTGAGGAGGTGACCTCTCCGAGGATGAGGAGAATCCCGAAGAGGAGATCAATTTCTCAGCGAACCCTTCTTCTCAGCCACACCTAACCAATGATCCCAATCATCCCAACGGGTCAGGGATAGTCCAAGAGGACGCCCTGCTGCAGAAAGGTCAGGAGTAGTTCAAAAGAACGCCCTATCGCAAATATTATCGAGTCTCAGGAACCTTCTAGATCGTGCCACATCGACTTGGGTATAGGCTAGTTTAATCGAAGAGTGAATTTATCTCCATTCACCGTCCTTGGGAATGAGTCTTTGTTTGGACTTCGTTACGCCTATGGCTCTGGTGTGTAGATCCCAAAAAGCTCCGAACCCGCAAGTGTTCTGAGACTCATTAACAGAGCGACTTCTAGATTGCATTCGAATCCGTTCGAAACCAAGCGCTTCGGATGTCTAGGTTTGTGGATCCGAACCCTTTGGAGTCCGAGCTCAAATAGGTTTCTAGGTTCATGGTTTCGAACTCTTTCAAGACTGAGCCAATACCTTAGAGAATGGATATCCTTAGAGGGTTTCATCTGTTTTGAAAGCCTCCTTCGACGCCTATATGATGTAAGCCTCCTCGGATGGGTTTGTTGGATTCTCTTTAGAGATATGCTTGATGGGTCTTTCTTGGCCCAATTTGTTGGTATTCTTATGGGCCCGTTCGATAAAATTCACTTGGGCCCATTTGGCAATAATTTCTCTAAGCTCACCAATTTTTGGGCTTCGATTGGGCCCAATTAATTATTGGGCTCAAGTTTTCCCCTCCTACAATGTCAAATTTTTAAAAAATTACTAAAACGAAAAAAATCTAATTTTTTTTTTTTAAACTTTTGTAATTGTTACCGAACTGTAACTAAGCGACAATAGGGTAGGGTTTGAAGATACAATACAACAGAGCAGTAGCTCATGAGCCCCAAAACTAGAGAGGCCCAAAATTATAAGAGAGTGTATTTTGGGTGACTTTTTGGCAATGCACTAATAAGTGCACTTATTATAAATTGTCACATTATTTTTTTACTTTTTTGCACATTTTTTTAATATAAAAAATCAAAAATAACTAAATAACCAAAATCCCAAACCAACCCTTAAATTATAGGCCAGGGCTACAAAGGGTAAGACTCACATGCATTTTTTCATCAAACCTTTCAAAATTTTGGTGAATACAAAAGTGAATTCTCCCTTGATATATTCGTTTGTATAGGTTTTATTAAGCACTTAAAAAGTATGAATTGTTGATTCCAAAACCTTTTACTTGATATTTTTTTATCTTATACATGCACACATATATATAGCATGTATATGAGTAAATTATCTTCTTCTTTATTTTGGTGACAAACCCAAGATCTATTATTATTATTATTAAAAGGGGAAACTTGTTTAACAGACTTCAGACTTTAGAAAAACTTTCTATAACCATTCACTTGTTCCAATTTATGGAAGCAAAAAAATGAAATTAGGGGGAGGATGGATTTTGGTGCTCAAACTGGAGGCCCAAGTATTGGCCCATTGTGTGTTGGTTGCCGTCACTCCGTGGGCTTTTATGGTGGACCGTTTCTGAAGTTAAGAACGATTTGCGGGCTTGAGGGCCTACACTACACAACACAACTTATTGAGATTTAAACAGTAAGTAGGCCCCCAAGAATAGTAGGTATGTTTGGTTTGAGTTTGGGAGAGGAGTTTTAGAGATAAAAAGTACGAAAAATTGTTTGGTTTGGTTTTTTTCAAAAGATGTTTTGAAAAATTATTGTGAGAGAGAGTTTTGGAAAAAGTGATTGATTTGATGTGTATGAGAGAGATTTGTTTGGAAAACTTGTAAACCAAACAAGTTTTGGGAAATTTTTTTGGAAAAATTTGTTTGGTTTGATTACTTTTGAAAACTAATTTGTAGATAATTTTTTCTAAAAATTTTTGAGAAACACAAACCAAACAAGGCCAACCTATTTGAGGAAGTGGCGGTGGTGGTGAATATGAAATCATATATAAATATGATGATGATTTAGGTCCTGCCTAATGAGAAGTCCTTGGATCATAACTTACAAACTGAATGAGAGGCGAAGATCTCTTCATATAATACATTTGAGTATTTGAATTCACTCCAAATGAATCCCAAGCAGTTTGAGGAGGTGAGTTCAACTCAAACAAAAATTGATCCTTGTGAAGTATATACACTGTTGGGTAGATTAATAGAATTTTTTGATTTCCCATTGGAAGTAAATTAATCCAATGAAAAAAAAAAAAAAAAAGTTATCCATCCCTGAAGCTACCTTTAAAATGCAGAAGTACAATGCTATGCGTTGAAGTCATAATTGGTTCCTACCTGCCAAAATAAAATCCTTTGTGTAGCAGCACCTGTTGGATTGCCTTCTGGCCACATCGGAATGACAATATAAGCTGCAAACCTCTCACGTGCTCTGATTTTCTCAGCAATTTTAAGTGCAATTTCCATGGGAATCAAATTGTTCGCACCTGTAGCAAGAAAATATGCTCACAATCAGTATTCAGTAAAGGAATTTCAAGCATAAAAGCTCAAGAAAGCGTTTATTTATTGTCATATCAAAGGCCACTTCACTCTCAACTAAAACACGATGTAGCAAATCAAAAGAACTACCTAATCCTATTAAACCCTCCATCGTAAGTAGAGACACAGAAAAAATCCTCAACCAGTCTCCTTGTTTGCTACAACCAAGCAAGTTGGGATAATAATATGCTGCTTCTCAATGATCAAATTGCATGCTAAGAGAACCAAGAACAGGTTTTAACATTAGCATCCACGACTCTATCCTACCGGCAAATGAAACTTACTATCCAGAACAAATAGCTGCATTATGTGAAATTGAGAGAGAGAGCAAACAAAATGACAGGAAAAAAAAAATCAATCTAACAAAAGTAACATAGAAACATAATTTCTTTTCCTAACAAAGCTCTGCCAATAATTAGTTCATTAAAAGAAACTTGAATGCCCAATGAAATGGGGCATTAGAATGCAAATTCAATGAAAACAGAGCTAAACCAAGGCCAAGTGCATAGTCAATGTTTATATGGTACGCTCCAAATAAGGCTTAGGTAGCACAGAATCATGTAAAAGGATGTGATTACTCCTCAAGGGAAGTCTTCTCCCAAAACTTCAAAAGAAAATGAATAAATAAATAAATAAATCTGCTACAATGGAATTGCCATTCAGAACAGGCCCAAGATTGGTCACTACAATTCCTCCAGTAGTTTCTATCATGCTGTTATTTACTATTCTTACAGCCAATTCTAGGTTACTCAAACAAATACTGAATATATTGTAATGAGCCCTTAAACATTGTTTTATGTCAAGTTAAGAAAATCTATACATCAAGGATCCCTTAATCACATTTGAGAATTTAGAATCCTAATTGTTAGCATAGTGAGTTCTAATTAGTAGGTTTACCTTCATCAGATATAAATGATGCATAAGAAAGCACTCACAGATAGGGACGCCAATTTTAAGTGTTCAATGACATTTTATGGTAATCCAAAAGAAAAATAAACACATGACCTGAAAAGGAAAAAAGTAATTACATAATTAGAGTTACATCAGTAAATCAATCGGAGTTTGAACCATCTTGTAACAACTTCCTGAAGCCCAACTGCCCAAGCAATACAAAAGGATAAAGTCTCCACTATTGTTGTTAGGTTTCTTTTAAAAGTTCTCCAAAAAATTCAAAAAAAGTTTTGTTGGGTTGACTTGAGCTGAAGTTCTCATAATTAATGGAACTCCACAGAGATGGATAAATATCTGAGTTATGACAACCTAGCATGATGTGGGCAATCAACTCTAATTATTCAAACTACTTATTGTGCCTCCACTCGGATCTAATTTTGTTCATTATTTTTGGGGCCTATGGCACTAAACACTTTCTACCTTAACTGGTAAAGAAAATATTTTAGCTCAATTGTTTAAAGCCAGCAAGTTAGTATAACAACTGAACAACCAAAACGACCCCATTTGTGCTAGTCTCTAATAATGCTGCAATTATGTCAGAGTTAGATATTTCAACAGTAACAAAAAATTCTGAACCTTATAAATCAGTAGAAGGCAATTATTTTAACTGGTAAAAGCAACACCCTGACCTAACTAAAAAAATCAAGGAGAGACATCCATGCGGGATTAGATTGCACAAACATGAAAGGATGACATTGCAGTTAACGCGAATAATAATAAAACAATGTATGTGAGATAAAACAAAACTTAACCAGCATTGAAAAAAATAACACCTGAAAAAAAATTACAAAAATAAAAAATATATATAAACCAAATCATAATCTAAAATTACAAAATCACACCTGGAAAAAAATATAAAAATTAAAAAATAAATCTAAAATCATAATTAACTATTTATTATCCATGCCAACAACACTTCAAATGTATAAACATATATGGCCAATCAAACCAAAATGGAATACATAAATCAAACCAAAACCAAATTACTTACATTTATTTGAGCAAAGGTAAAACTTTCGGTTCACCATCTTTCAGACACTCTAAGTTTTCCTGTACCATGGGTGAAGAAGAATGGCCAGTAGTCATCAAATTAACTGGGAAATGTTGACCCTCCTTAGATGAGGTAGATGACCAGCCATTTCCTTTCCCACCTGAATAACAAAATACATTCTCTTCCAGAAAATACCATCATTGTGTCTCAAATTTGATTTATGTTGGAAAAAATCTAGGGAACAACTTGCACAATTCCATATCTGGCCAACTGCTGAGATGAGTTCAGCCGTGCTTAGCATCTCAGAAGACTTTGGTTCAGATTTTTTGCAATTTTGCTTACCATTACCAGAGGAGGTGGGGGCATAATTTCCATCATCAATATCAGTAAGCTCAAAGGAAGCCCCCTCCAGTGGGCTACACCTATATTTTATTGAAGGTTTATTGCTTCTTGGAGGTTGACTAAGCCTAGTCATTCTTCTAAAATATTTCAAGAATTTTCTTGAAAAAGATGATTGTAGATGGAAACGTAACTGCAAAATGAATCCGCAGGTATATTACTAAACAAATTTAATAGTTAAAAATTTTAATTATGACAAAATCCGCACCAATAAAAATTTAATTATGACAAATTCCGCACCAAAATGAATCCGCAGGTATATTACTAAACAAATCCGCACGTAACTGCAAAAAGATGATTGTAGTTAAAAAATCATTAGTTCAAATCTTCGGAGCTGAAGGCTAAACAAATTTAATTAATGCCACAATTCATGTAGTAAGAATAATGCAATCAACTAACAATTCCAAAAGATGACAAAATCTTGGATTGGGCTACTTGTAAATATTTCAAGTCAGAAAAAGTGGAGGTGGGAGTGGGTGGGTGGGTGCTATGTTCAAAACATGGTTGAATTCAGAATCCCACGACTCTATGAGATAAGTATTGAACACTCCTATATTTGAATTGCACTAAAATATTGCAGAATCATTAAATACACATGTAGACACAATCAGAGCTCAACCTAGAGATTTATGTTTTCATTTCATTACTACTAAATAATGAACAATCCTATGCTTGAGATTTAAAACCTCTTCTTTTTTTCTTTTTTTCTTTTTTATACAATTTCACAGGAATCAAAACCAAGCATTACCAACAAACAAACAAAAAATGCAACAAACCCATTTATCTGCATAAAAATAGATCAAATCAAACCCAAAATTAGGGCTTTTAATCAAGTATATATCAATAATCAAAGCAAAAAACCTAAAATTTTAATTTTTTAATTTTTTTATGTGGGTAGTTTTACCAGACAAATCTCAAGGTTCGCATTTGCAGACATCGATCTCTCGAATAACACTGACTTGGTTCTCATCGCCGTTGATCTTCAACTTCAGATAGTGATTGATAAGTACTTCGTCGGTAGGGCGAAATCGGTACCCAACTGGAAGAGACTCCTCCGCCAAAATTTTAGAGAAAGAGAGAGAAGAAAGGGAAAGTGGGTATGGATCGAAATGAAGAATTAAAAACCTATAGAGGTAGCATAGGGAATGGATAAACAAATCGAAAGAGAAGATGTATGAGATTCAAAGAAAATTCAGTGGGGTTTCAAAGACGTGGGGTTTGAATTGAAAAAGGAAGCAACAGAGAAAGTGAGAGAGATAGATATAGAGATTGACAGAAACCATCACAGATTCCTGGGCGGGAGATCTATTGATCTCAACCATTGACATAAATTTAGGATTAATCTCAGACATTAAAATGTCTCTCTCATATATTTATATATTTTCAAAAACTCTCATTCCTTATTATATAGATATATATATAAGCATATCACAATTAGGGAGAGCCAAATGCACCCTTACGAATCGTATGAAATCAAATTTCAATTAAACTTCCCAGATGACTCTAAAAATCATGCTGATCATACTTACGTAGTCCGTTCTGGTTTCTGAAGCCTCTAAGGCCTTCAATTTGCAATGTAAAGTTAACCATCCAAACATACCTTAACGAATCAGACGAAATAAATTTCCAATTAACTTTTCCAAATGGCTCTAAAAATTCCCATTAGCATATCCATGTACTTAATTTTGATTTTTGAACCTATAAAGGTCGTCAATTTCAGTTTTAAAGTTGTAACTCAACAGATAATTCTTCAATTCAAACAGATATCATTAAATTAAAGTACATTAACCCAAAATTAAATAAAGATAATTTCTGATATGCATTTTGGGATAGTTACGCAAATTGTAACTCTGACTGATCGATGATTCAACTAATCAAACCAACCGATTCAGCCCGGTTTTCTAAACCATGAATAACATGATGGAATGGTCGAACAACATCATCAACTTATGTTATTGGTTAATACAAAAAATTGGTACACACAATTTCTCATCACCCTCTCTCCCAACTAAAACAATAAGCCATCGGTACTATGACACTGGTGATGCTATGGTATATTTAGATGTACCATGTATCAGTTATGAAGATATGTAATTTTATATTATAACTAATATCATATAGGTCATAACCATTATCATATTAACTCATAACTTAGTTATATTTAGTTATTCATACATACCATATTATCTCATAACTACCACATAACTAAATTATTTTAATAATTTAATTTTGAATTGGCAACCGGTGTAACCGATTACCAAAAAGAGGGCAAAAGAAATCAGAGGAGTCTAGGGGTCCCAATATCACATATCTCATAACTAGTCACATATTTCATAATCAACATCAGATATCTTATAACCACTAGTCACATATCTCATAACCAACACATTTTTTTCATAACCAACATCACGTATCTCATAACTACTAGTCACATATCTAATAACTAACACCATTTTGCTCATAACCACACCACTTTGTTTATAAACAATATCACATATCTCATAACCATTGATCACACATCTCATAACTATTACCCACATGAATCATAACCACATCTCATAACTAACCCCATTAAGTCATAACTACATTAAGTCATAACTAATATCACAGATTTCATAACCACTAGTTATATATCTCATAACAAACAATCCTTTTGTTTATAACTACACCACTTTGATTATAACCAATATCTCATATCTCATAACCAGTAACACATATAGCATAACCAAACACCCTTTGACATCCCTGTGCTCATAATCAAAATCACATGTCTTGTAATCACTAATCAGATATCTCATAACTATTACCCACATATCTCATAACCAACATCACATATATCATAACTACTAATCACATATCTCATAACCACACCACTTTGATCATAACCAATATTGCATATCTCATAACCACTAATCACATATCCCATAACCAAACACCCTTTGACTTATAACTGCATCACTCTACTCATAACCAAAATCACATATCTAATAATCACTAATCATATATCTCATAACCTTTACTTACTTATGTCATAACCACATTTCATAACTAACACCATTTGCCTCATAACCAACATCACATATATCATAACTACTAATCACATATCTCCAAATTTTTGGAGAAAATTATTTGGGGGGAATTATGTAATAACCATTATAAAAATAAATAAATAAATCATGAGTAGAGTCTTATAATAAAATAAATTATTAATTTATAGTTTTGTCAATTTATACTCAAATTTTTTTATATATTTTTAATATAAATCCTTCATCTATTTTTATTAAGTAAAATTAATAAACAAATAAAAAAAGAGTATTTTACTCATCAACTATAAAATGTATAACCACACCATTAATTGGGGTAAAAAAAATATTTAAAATTTTAGAAACCACAAATATTGTAATCAAGTCACAAAATTTTGTAACATAAAACACAAAATACAGAACACCATCTCTAATTGGCGTAACAAAATTATTTCAAATTATAAAAAATCACAAATGTCATGACTAAGTCACAAAATTTTGTAACATTAACCAAAAATTATGTAACTATCCACTAATTGGTGTAACAAAAATATCTAAATTTTTTAAAAACCACAAATGTCATAACCAACTCACAAAATTTAATAACATCAATTACAAAATGCATAATTGCACCACTAATTGCCATAATAAAAATAATCAAAATTTTTACAAATCACAAATGTCATAACCAACCCAAAAATTTTCATAACATCAATCACAAAATGCATAACAACACAACTAATTGATGTGCCAAAAATATCCAAATTTTTTATAAACCACAAATATTGTAATCAGGCGACAAAATTTCATAACATGACTAAACAAATCACTAAAAATCTTAGAATCACCAATCGGGATCTCTCATAATACAGAGAAAACAAAATGTAATGACAATCATTAAATAATTTAATCAACGACTTAAAGCCATAGAACAGAAAATGAGAGTTAGAGAAGATTAGCTAGTAGAGCGAGAGGAAAGAGAATATAAGAAAGAGAGACTGAATCGGCTTATCGGCTGTGAAAATGACTTCAAAGGTGCTGTCGTTTTCGATAAGGAACATCAGAGATATTTACAATGACAGTAAAGAATGAGAGAGATGCTTGAGGGATAAAAAGGATTGAGATAGCAGAATAGTACAACAAAATGCGTAATATTCATTTTTCAACAGTTCTATAACACATGTATAAATTGATGATAACAAAACCTTTCAAATCATAACCACGGCCAAAGGTTTGTGTATGTATGACATATTAATGTGAAAGAGCTAGAGTTTCGAGATAGATGCATTTACTAGATAGAGAAATATCACCAGAATGAATAGCGTTGAAATAGACAAAGAGAGTTCAAGGATCTATTGTAGAGACACGGGAGTATAGAGAGGAAGAATCTAGTGACGAAGAACTATCAACAATGGTCATTTGATAAATTGAGCGAAATAGAGAAGTTTGAGTAAAAAATAGAGAGAGTTTGGGCACAATTAGACAAATCAAGGGAAACAATATAGAGTAAAGAAAAAAACGAAAGAAAGTTGGGGAACAAATTTAAGAGAAAATTTATTTAGGAGAACAAAATAAAATCACGTCATAGAGAATTTTTTTCAACATAGTTTTTTATTAAAATTTAGTTAAATTATATATATATGTATATATATATATGTTTATAAGTGTATATAGATATTTTAAAAAGTATATCGTTTGTATATTACTATTTTTATTATATTTAATGAAGATATTATGGCTAAAAATAAATCTAAAATAGAGATATGTGATCAATTACAATTGTCACTTAAGGATGACACTTCAAAATTAATTGAGACAGTTGAGAGTTCAGAGATAATGAGAGTTTGAGAGACAGATTTGTTTGTGAGAAATAAAATGAGAGAGGAGAGGTATTTATAGGACTTGGGAGGGAGTGGTTAATTTATATATATAAAAATAAAATAAAATAAAATAGGCTGTTGGTGGAATTAACTATTATATGACTATTTCAATTTTATTTTTTTTCAAAATTTTGACCGTTACACTAAAAGCGTGCTGTTGGGGTTGGGTCGGGCCAGATAGGGAAAAAAATTTCAGGTCGAGCTCAGAAGATGGGTCACACTCCATAACACACCAGAGTCAGGCCGGGCTCAAGAACACATAGTCCAAGGTCTTAGGTTAGGCTTATGCTCAGGCCTAGTTGGGTCTACCCAGGGCGTAACTGGACTTGGGGTGTGTCGT